ATGTAGCAGCAAAGAAAAGACATGGTTCGAGCCAGCTTTTGAGCAAAACCTTTGAGGGAATATCATCGTACGGTGCTGGTAGAGGTGGAAAACGAAGTTGGGGAAGACGTGGAAGTTGTCGATGAAGACTACAAGGTAGAGTTAGCTGGTAATAATATGCTTCCAAGCTCCATGAAAGAATCTGAGGATGATTGTGTTGATTCGCGTGAATCGGATTGTGGCCAATCTGACGATAGTGATGCTGGTATTTTATCTGAGCTTTTGTTTGTGTTTTATGCAGGTAACAAAAGAGTTGTACCCATTGCAACGAGCTTATAGATGATTAAATAAATTCACTGGAAATACATGATTTTTTTGGTGAAGAAGCAATCCATGAGACAAATACGAGTTATTCACGAGTCTTAGTCTTTTTTTTGTCGTGAAATTCAAAGAATCAATTACATTTGCATCAAAGACTCCCTTGCTAATACATTAATTTATAATAGATATACATGCTCTTTTTATATTTCCTCTAGAATTGATCGTATCTTCTACAAGAAATTTTGTTATTTACATTTATTGTAAATTTAAAAAAAAAAAAATCTTTAGATATTTCTTATAAATTAAATCCATTGAGAGTTTCAAAAAAAAAAATTAAAGTCATCGTCTTTTTTTATTTCACCAAAAACTTGCAACTTATATCTCTCTTTTACAAGCCTTGCAATGAATACTTCTCCTTTAGATGTATCGCGTTTAAATTTACATATTCAAGATTATCATATTTATGTTAATGTTTTGTAGATCGATATGAAAAAAAAAAATTTCTAATGGTAAAACGGTTGAGTTGGTTTTGACTAAGAGGTAGTTATTTTTTTTTCTTTTTTAACTCAGTGAGATATTTTAAATTCATGGTCCGGTGAGAGTTTCATGTTCCATATTATTTTGTTTATGGTATGGTAAGTACACAATTCTTTAAAATTTTTGTAAAGTATCATTCTCTTTGAGCTTTTGTATTATTAATCCAAAACGTTTTTACTAATACGTGCATCGATTCATCTATCGTAATATCAAAATTTATTGTTTAGATGAGTGCAATAAGTATCCTAAAACTAGAAAACTTACCCATATTTTCNGACGAAATTTGCTTGTGATTTGACTATGCTATAGTGGTGATACAGATGATGATGTTAAATTGAATGTTATGGAGGAGATTTTATCGAGGCCTTAAGATACATGATACAACATTTTGTTCCAATTGAGCAGTCGCCTGTTNACGATTGCAAAGTTCCCCCTCCTGTTGTTGTTGTCGCTGTAAATGATCAAGGTATGATTGATGGGGTACAAAAGTTTAAAACCCTGGCTCTAGCTTTGAATCAGCTTCAGTTCCAACCTGTTATATTTTAGTTGGATTTAAATTTCTAACATATGTATATATACGTGAGATTATGTTAAAAAATTAATGCAAATATGATTTCCAACATGACATAAATAATAAGAATGTTTTAAATGGTTAATTTAATTGATATGTCNTTTAAAATTTTAAAATTTCTCTAAAATCTTTATTGAATGACACATAAGATTTTTGCACTTATCAGTGACACATATGATTTTTGCACTTANTGTCTTCTCAATATATATAGAGGGTGTTATTGGTTTACCTTGATTGCTTTAACTTCTATTATTGGTTTATTTCGAGTGCTTTAACTTGTACTTCCTTTTTTAGTCTTTCTTCCGTTTTAAGATCTTCAAGGACTAAT